GTCTCACACTACCATTTACAAAATAAAATCAAAAGAACAGGCTGAAAGGTTTCCATATACTGAAATAGGGATTTTTGTAAGTTTGCCTATCACTTTTTAACATGACGTTACAATTTGTCATTTCCTGGGGAAGAAGCTAGGAAGTACTTGGGCTGTGTCTCATTGCAGTAGGATTCTGCTTTTCAAAAATACCCAAATAGGCATGTATAGCATGCCTACGCTGCATAAACATTTATCTAACGTGGAATTCAGTCTAGCTACTGCAAGGAGTTTGAATTTTATGCCATCCTTAAAAATTGTGGTTGGATTTGCAGAGAAGGCTGACGCTCGGTTGTCTGAAAGGGGTGTTTTATTTTCATTCTGCATGCTGGGAAGAGGCTTGAAAATGGATGAACCTTTACAACTGGTATTGGAAACAAAGTATGATTGAGGATATGATATACTGATCTCGTGTACTAGGGCTCTTCGTTTTATCGTCTTGCTTAAATACCAGCTAAACAGGAATTTAGGGTGGGTTGTTTGGTGGCTGGTGTTTGGTGTTTTTTTTAATCTTTGGTCCTGCTGTGAAGAGGAGCATGGAAAACTATAGTTACTACTGGTCTTCATTCCTGAAGTTTTAGTGCCTGCTTTTGTTAGAAATATAATACACATGAAAACAAGTTTCCTTTTCCCAGAGCTGCCTTTCAGCAGAATTAGCTTGTGCCGCCAAAGCTGCAGATAATACGCTGTAAAAATTTTGCCACACGTACAAATCATTCATCAGTGAGCACTTGCTTAGTGCATGACTGATGCCGATGGAATGTAGGCACACTACTTAGCGGAGTTTACAAGCTACAGAATAGGCCATCCATCTCTGCTGGTTTCAGAAAGTTCTGTCTCCAGCAGCTTGATAAATATTTTCCTGAACTTCCAAGAATTGTTAATAACTAGGCTTAAATCCATAACATAATTCGTAAATCCATAGGCAGTATGCACGATGGGAGCCATGGTCTTGAGAAGGCATGAGCTCATCGGAAGTGAGGTCTGGTTGCTTTGTTGCTATTTTTTAATCTGCTTTTAACATTAATATTAAACATTGGTAAATATTTAAGAAATTGAAACAGATTACGGGAAAATTGCCTGAGAGGAAGTGTGCCAGCGGGAGGACCCTGTGTTGTCTGTCTTCAGTGCATTTATAGAATGAGGCTTGGAAGTGTTACTTAGCATAAAATTTGGGAAACCCTCATCTACCAATTAATGTTCACGTTATAGGCGCTTGTATTAGCAAACAGAAGCGCGCTGTGTAATCCTTTGATATGTTTTAGATATATCAGGTCCGTGCCACTGCCACGATAGTGTTCGTTAGGTATGTTAATCACCAGGGCAGATTTCGTGACTGGGTGATGTGTTTGTTTTGCTTAGGCCTGATGTAGTACAGATAATGTCTTCCAAGCTCTGTTCTGCAGCCAGCTCCCACCACTGCCCCTCAGCAATTATCTTGGTTGTCATCCTGCCTTTCCCACTGGAGAAACGTGAACCAGCTCAGGGTGTGGAAGAGACGGACGCGGGTCTCTGACTGGATGTCCTTTGCAACTCATTTGTCCCCTTTCCCTCTGCGGGAGCTACCTACCCCTCGGAAATGCTGCAGCGTCAGGATTGATGCGTACACTCTAGCACGGCTCTGAAAACGCCGACTCCTCCACTTGATAAGTCAAGTGAAAAAACTGGTTTTGGCATGCATTTATCGGAAGGGAACTTCCCATTCATAACGGGAGAGTGTTTTGCTTGTCAGCATGGCGACGCATCCGATGCCTTGGGGCGCAGCGCGTTGAAGGGGACTGGGAGATGGGCTCCTCTCTACCTGCTGGAGACAACCCTCTTGGGGGGACTGCAGACAGGCTGGCCTTTCAGCTGTGTTCCTTGTCTTAGTGGGAATGTCAGCCAGGAAAAACTGGTTTGCTGCTTCCTGGATGTCCCTGTTATCAGTTTAATAGCCAAGAGAGGCCGCCTCGAGCAGCCACGTCGCATTCCCAACTGCCTTGCTCGGCCTTTGCGGCAGAGCAAGCCCTTTGACTAGGGCACAGGCCGGGGGGGCTGCTGCTCAGCCAGGCAAGCCGCCTGCGGGCCAGAGCCGCAGAGCCTACGTCGTGCTGGATGGGGGTCCCAGCGCGTGTCGGGCTTTCGGGGTGAGCACACTGCTAGCCCTGGTACATCGCTCCCCGACTTACAAATAAAACTTCAACTTCTTTTTGATCGACCTTTTTATTTAAAACCTTTGTGTTTTGCGTCTCACGGACTTCAGGTTAATCTTAGTGTATTTTCTCCTCTGCTTTTACATTTTGTTTGTAGTAACACAGCATAAAAATTATGATTAGGTCATTAACCAGAAAAAAACCTGGCGCTCATCTGCAGGTGATCAGATGACATCAGAGGCCTGGTTTTAATTTGTGGGTAGTTCTGATTGTAACTAAAAGAGACTTGCTCCTTTTGTGGAATTGGCTGGCTATTTCCCCGCATCTGGAGTTAATGAAGTCTTTGAGACCACATCAGTTGTGTTTTGCCGCAAGAAGCCTTTGATCTGAAAAATCTAGACTGGCACAAGTGCAGCTTCATAACATTGCAGCGATGTTTTTGCAAGCTATAGTTAAGAAACCAAAACAAGCAGAAACTATATAAAGTTATGTGTCTGTGCTAGGACTTTCATGTAGCTGTTTGGAAGGGCCTCTTTTACGTTAATATAATTCATAACCTTTTTATTATGTTAATGGCTTGTACATATGTATCTGTGAATGAGACATTTGTAGGAGTGTTTCGGTTTCGTTTCCCTTTTGAGGTAGTGCTTAATCAGTTTTTAGAAATCACCCACTTACCTAAAATGCTCAAGTTTCAATGCGAAGCTTGTATTCACGGATCTCATTGATAACGTTGCAGTTTAAAAGAAGTACAATTCGTCATTGTGGGCGATTTTGCATTAATCAGCGTGCATCTCCCTGGCAGTTCTAAATGTCATAAAGCTTTGTTCCCACTGCTGTCCTGTGACAGTGATAGATGAGCCATCAGCTATAGCATATGCTGCGTTATTCTGCACAACAGAGAACTTGTAAATTAAGCCCAGTTTTGCCTAATATGTTTGCAGTCTTATGAGCGCGAGTATTTACAATTTGACAGAGTGACATTTCTGTTAAAATATGTCCGAGCTGTGGAATATACATGCGTTTATCGTAGACAGTAAATACATATGCACTGTTAACATTGCTTATAACGTATTGTCATTCTGTCACTCGGGTTTGGTAAGCATCTCAATTCTACTTTTTCCAAAAACTGATCGTTTGCAAGTAAAATACTGAACAAAATCTCCCCGAAAGGTTTGCTTTCTCTAAGAAAAAATCATTTATTTTGATAGAAACATGGTTAAAACAAGCATGCAACTGGAAGTTGTGCGTTTGCTGCTTGGCTCCTTTCCATCCGGTGCCTCTTTACCTGCCGCCCTTCTCATGACAGGGCGCGTACGGACAGCTGCGCCCTGCCTGGGTTCCTTGTGCTCTTCTCCCAGTTCCCATCCCGCAGTTGGCGTTACTTCACTGACAGGGCGTTGATGTCGGGCCGTCGCAGGGCGGTGGAGCGGTCCCTCGCTGTCCCAGCTGGCTGTCCGCAAGCGCATGCCCAGCTCTGCCCGCCGCAGAGCAGCAGTTGGGAGTGGGGAGGAGGGGTGTTGGTATGCAAACGGCGACGAGACTTGCCCGCTTGACTTTGCGAATATCCCTGTCGACAGTGCTTCTCTTCTGGCAACTTGGGCTTTTTTTTGTTGGCCGGCTTGGTTTTCCTGGCCCTGCTCTTGCTTGGTGAAGAGCAGCCCAGAGGGAGGGGGAGAGATGCCATGGTGGCGGAAAGCGTGTGTGCCCGTATTTACACGGGAAGGCATAGAAATCCTCACTTGGGCGTTTTAGGGCAGAATGCACTTTGTAAGTTGTGTTATGTGACCTTTAAAGTTTAAAATTATTAATACATGCGTTTATGAAGCCGTATGTGTTTACCAGTAAGGTGAATGATTAAAAATAAAGATGCCAAGTTTGTTATTTTGTAGCAAAGATGGTCTCGTGGTGTTCCATATTGATACACTTGGCTGCCACATTTGTTCACTTGCCTCTTTTTTTTTAATCTTTTTTCAACATACATCAGTCACGTTGCAATATTTGGTATATTGCCCAAAATGCTGGTATGAAGGAACAGCATCACCAACGGGCAGAGCCCTTGAGTCTCTGCGTATGGGCTTTGTTGGTTTGACCGACTTATTCCTGAACACGCTGCTGTTCATTCTTGGAGTCACTGCAGTGAAACACTTGTAATCCTTAGGGTTTCAACTTGCTAAGGAAATTCAGTGTTCTCAGCTGAGAAGGGTCCTTCCAGTGTGGTGCTGGTCTGGTAAGAGATGCTGGAGTGCTAGGCCAGCGTGGAAATCGTTTGCCCGATGTTGCAGTTGTAAGGTTGTTCTGGGGACTGGCGTTCGTGTGTTTTTGGTGGCTGCACAAAGGCGTGCAAGTCTCTGAATGGGTGATACAATGGCTGCCTTCAAATCTTTTCCTTTTGTCGCTGGATGTTCTTTTTTCTTTCTGATTGTTGGGGTGCCAGCTAATTAAATATTCAAACAGGCATACAGTTGTTTTAAAAGACAATTTGTTTGGGGCACCAGTTGTTTTATCTTGCTTTTTTATCTTCAGCAACAAGTCTGCGCGAGTCGTGCGCTCAGAAAGCAAAATCAGCATTCAGGCTTTTCTCGGGCCACCTGGCTGAGTTGGCACACCAGAAAGCGTGTTGTTGGGATCATTCTACTGTAGTTCCACTGTACTGTGGCAACTTGCTAAAAAGCAAATAAAACAAGGGCAACAAATGCTGCAGCTTGCTACACTGTTCTTTTTTTATTTGTGCTTTGTACGTGTGCCTGTGTGCGGTTACGGGTTCTTTCATGCGCAGCGCCCGCGTGTTACTGACCTGCTTTTATTGCTCCCCCACATCTAGGTGTATGCGCCATCCCCGAGTTCTGATGATTTCAACAGAGAATCGCCCAGTTACCCGTCTCCCAAGCCACCAAGCAGTATGTTTGCTAGCACTTTCTTTATGCAAGGTGGGTAGAAGGACTTCCTGGGTACATGTCGCTTGTCTTGCAGGTAGAAATGTGCCGTGAGCTGGGTGAATGAGGGAGTGTAGAGGTAACATACTGCGCTCGAGCCTGTGATTCGCGTTTTATGTACTTCTAAAACAGTTAGATGAAGGGAGCTGTCTGTTGATTTAAAGTTTTTCTCATGACATTAATTGCTGACTGAAATTTAAGGGATTATACACCAGGCCAGATGGACAGAATCCCCCACCCTTTGATTTGTAGGGGCTTCAGAGCAGCACACTGGAGTGATAGAGAAAAAATGAGGTGAGGGCTTCTTGCCTGTTCTGGAATTTGACTGTACAATATCAGCTAACAGTCTTCAGTTCTCAAATGCTCGTGTATCCAGCCTGCCAAAAAAAGGGGCTTTGCCTTGCGCAAAACGAGAGCAGAATTCATTTCCTCCGCCTCGCGTCATACCATTAGCTCGTGCTGTAGTCAGATGGGGTTTTGGAGCCTATTGAAAGCACAGTCTCCCAGAACAGGAATTTACAGAGCTCTTCAGCTTGCGCTACAGAAGGAAAACTGCATTGACACGTGGGTTTAAGGCTTATGTAACGTAGTCATTTCAGTTGCTGAAATCTGTTGGAATGAAATGTTTTCATGTTTTTATGGTACTGAGGTATTTTAGACTGTAAATTGCTTGTTTTAGGTTAATCGACGTTTTGTGCTGTGTTTATGATGAGCTCTGTGTAGCCAAATTTCTCTCCCCACCACCCCTTTTTTATTATTTCTTTCAGTCTGGAATTTTTATCAACCTTCTTGATATAAATCTGGCCTAACTGAAGGTCTGTGTAATTAGCAGGAGTACTTGGTATTTTCTCAGCTGTGGCTGGATTGTATTTCAGCTATAAAGCCGCTGTTGGTTTTTTAGGTTTTTTATAAATATAGCAACAGTGTGGTGGCATGAAAATAGACGCGGCAGGAACTGGTCACCCTTTCCCTGCTGATGTGAGCTGAGCAGCTGAATTAGGTGTTCTTTTGTAGAGGAAAGTAGTACTTGATATTCTTCTTCATTAAATGTATTTTTCTTGATTTCTTTTTTTTTATTAAAACCCAAAAAAGATGGGACCCACAATTCTTCTGACCTCTGGAGTTCATCCAATGGCATGAGCCAGCCTGGCTACGGTGGGATGCTGGGAGGTTCCTCGTCCCACATGTCCCAGTCGGGCAGTTACGGCAGCCTGCACACACATGACCGTTTGGTAAGATACGCGGCACAGATGAACACCTTTGTACTGGTTTATGGGATCTGACTTAGGAGAATTGATGTCTTGTTTGCTGCTCATGTATGTCAGTTAAAAGCCCACCTGTCAGAAGTCACAAACTTACTGTATTGAGCTTACATCCTTTTATTTGTCTGTTGCATAAATAAAAACCTGTGGCTGTGTAGTGGTCTGTTCACAGGATGGAGGAGTCCCTTTCTTTAATAAAGAGCTGGGTGTTGTATATTTGGTCTCTTAAAGTATCAACACTCGTTTCAAGGCTACCTAATGTCCTGTGTCTGTTTCTCTTCTCTCCAGAGCTACCCCCCGCATTCAGTCTCACCTACAGATATAAATGCCAGTCTTCCTCCAATGTCTAGCTTCCATCGTGGCAGTACCAGCAGTTCACCTTACGTAGCTGCCTCACACACTCCACCTGTCAATGGATCGGATAATATTCTGGGTAAAAACTTCTTCCTGCCTTTTTTCTTTAATTTTACAAGAAAATTAAACTTAAGGACACACCAGATAACTTAGGGGATGCTTGTAGATCAGGGATACCGCACTGCTGTGACATGCCCCATCCCTGGAAGTGTTCAAGGCCAGGCTGGATGAAGCTTTGAGCAACCTGGTCTAGTGCAAGGTGTCCCTGCCTGTGGCGGGGGGGTTGGAACTAGATGATCTTTAAGGTCCCTTCCAACCCAAACCATTCCATGATTCTATGATTTTTGTCCTCGGTGTGGCTGAGGTGAGGCAGATTCATTTGCAGTCAGCTTAAGACTCAGCCTAAGCCAACGCTGCGGAGATGGTAACTAACGTGATGGCAGTTACCCTTCCGTGGTTCAGCGTATGCCTACGTTCCCATAGGGGGTTCTGGTGTTGCGGTGTTGGGAGCTGCCGTATCACCAAGGTACTGTGCCGGAGCCAGGCAGGCAGGCTGCTTCTTGGGGAGCTTGATAAACTGGATTGTAAATTCCTCTCTTAACTGATTTTGAGATTACTGAGTAGCCAGTGTGGTGACTGGTTCAGCCTCTTCCAGGCTTACCTAGCAAGCGTGAAATACAGGAGGATCATCTGTTCCTTGCACGTGTCTGAACATCGTAGGACTTGGACGTAGACGCCCATTGTCAGTCTGACGCGATTTGCGTGTAGCTTTGTTTTAAGTGAGCAGAATTTAGTCAGGGTGACTATATTGACTTTGATTTGGGAGCCTGTTTTACACTCGGATCATTAATCAGATCCTAGTTAATGAGTCTGCATGGGAAATCAAGGCTGGAAAATCTAAGTTTGGTAACAAACTTGAAACAGTGAGGTTGCAGGAATTGGGTTTCTGATGCGAATGGCTTACACGGCTTACATTGACGTGAAGTGCGTTTTTTTGGCATTAGAAGTTGATAGTTGGAGGAAGGAGATCCAGTTTTAAAGGGTCTGTCTACAGTAAAGCAGATACGTCAGAGGGTTCCGGTCCTTTCCGTGTTTCCAATTGGTAGGGCGTCAGACCTCCTCCCGCCCTGGTGGCGTGCGGGGCAGAGGGGCACGCGCAGCTGCTGGCTTGCAGCTGAGAGCTGGGCGACTGAGCTTGGCGGGGGGGAGCTGCCCAGGGAGTTCCCAAAGTGAAGATGAGGGTACAACACGGGGAGTTAGAACAGGGGGGCAGGAAGGCACAGGAGGAACTGCTCAGCGCGTTTGGTGCTAACAGTTAATGAAACGTGTAGCACTTTGGTGACAACCGTTTAGAAATAAGCTGCCATAATTTTCTGGAGTTTTTTCCACATCTTGTTACAACTGCTCTGTGATTCTAGGGAATAATTTCAGTCTCTCTTTTCTAACTGCTTTCACTTGTTGGTCCTTAAGTTATCATGGTGATACTGTGTTTGGCTTTAAAGAGGAGAGCATGTAAATTTAAATCTAATAGTTTTAATTCAATTTTTAAGTATAATGAGGACTGAATCTGTTGACGCTGACTTCCTCAGCATATCTGTTCAAGAAGTGGTTGCTCAGCTGTGCGTGACAAATAAAATAACAAAACTAAATCAAACTTCAGCTCTTTAAAAATCTGTGTTTGGTTTGCTCTCCACGTTACAGGAAACAGAGGAAATGGTGCTGGAAGCTCGCAGACAGGTGATGCGCTTGGAAAGGCATTGGCATCTGTAAGTAGCAGCTAGAATATTCAGACCTGAAAGACTGATTCTGGTCACCGCATCCATTATTTATGTGCTCACCCATTTTATAGTATCAAATCTGGAGTTTTCACGTAGGAAGTTAAAATAATGTCCTAGGATACAATGACATGTACTGACTTTGTAAGGGCAGGTGTGGTTTAGCAAGTTGTTTAGACAAAGTACAAGATAATCATTATGAGTTTAGGGTTTGCTGTTATTTTGCTTTTCCCCTCGCAGTGTTTTAGTTCAAGTCAAATATTTTCAACGTTACTCTCAGAGCAGATCCTGCCTCAGGGTTTAAAATGTTTTCTCAGTGGCCTTATAAAACTGAGAGGGTTTGAGTGCTGTGTTGTAGAGCTGTAACTTACAGAACAACCTTCCGAATGCTGCGTATGCGTGAAGTCCGAACGCCGCAGCGATGTAGATAATGCAGAACATGGCAGGTGTCTCCGGTCTGCTCTGAGCTCTGTTTGCACGTGTGTGCGTTCGGCAGGTAGTTTTGCATTCGTGCAGCCTGATGTGCCTTTTGTAAAACAGCAATGGATGCAGTAGAGCAGAAATGTCAGTCAGGAGTGGTGGCTGGGGGGACGCTTTCTGTTTCTTGTACGTAGCAAACAGGGAGACCAAGTCTGATTGAAAAGAGAGAAATGGCCACTTCACAGCCCCGAAGGACTGTTCCTGGGTTGGATTCAGTGCCCCTCTCCTCGAACCAGCCAGCGCAACTGTGCGTGCTCGTGCAGATCCTGTTACCCCTGCATCCCTCCGAGGGTCCTGTGTTAAAAGACTGCCAGATCTGATAAAGTCTGTAATGTCCATATTGGGTAGGAGAACTCTGACCTACTGGCTCTGAGGAGAAAAATGTTGTCCCTGTTGCTTTTGGGGATTCAGCAAGTAGATAACAATTTACAAGTCCCGGGGGAAGTTAACGTTCTCTTTTTTTGTCTGTTTGAGACCTGTCAGAAAAGAACTGGGGTCGTTCTGACTCCTAGGAATAGCAGTGCTTGCATACTTCAGGCTGTTGGCTTCTCCGCAGATGAATTGGGGTGCCTGCTGTTCTGCACCCTGACCAGAGTGTCTGCTGGGAGTCTGACACGCTGGCCAGTTACACCGGCGGGGCTCCCTGACGTTCTCCTCCGTGCTCCTTTTCAAAATGATTTTCTTGTCCTTTCAGGTGTGTGTGCCTAAGTTAAGAGACCCAGGCTGATATTTTGAGGAAAAACTCTAAATATATTGCGAGTGGAAGTCAGGGCAGAAATGTTTAATCTAACTGGTGGGTGGGCTCTGGTTGTCATAGAAACTTGTTTCTGTCATCCCATGTTGTTGCTTGGCAGGAGCAGCCAGGTCATTCCATAAATCATTTCTGTCATAGCTGATGGTGATGCATTCCATCTGCTCTATCAGTGCATGCCATAGTCTGCACACTTCAAATCCCTCGCCTCATCCATCTGCTTCCCCCGCACCCCGCGCGCACCCAGCACGCTTCTCGCGCTCGTTCGGCAAGGAGCACCGCTCGCGGAGGAAGGCGCTCGCTCCTGCCTGCGAAGCTAGCGCGCAGATCCGGGTGGCTAGTCAGCCAAGAATGGTCTTCTGTTTGAACAAAGTTTTATTTCAGTACTGGGATCGCCTTGACGGGGTTTTTTTCCTCCCCTAAGATGACGCTGCATGCCTTTCTGTTAGGATTTGAAACGCTACTGCTGCAACTGTTGAGAGGAATTTCTAGTCCTAAATTCTGTTGATGTACATCTCACAATAGGCCTTTCATGTGCGAAACATCAGAGGATACAACATTTGTTCTTCAGTTGAGGTATTAAAGCCCATACAGAATAGTATGTGATTAAACATGTAAGGCCAGATAATACATTTGCAAAGGTTCTTTTATTTTAGGTTTAAGCCTGGATAATTGTGGTCTTAATCTCAGGGTAGGCAAGAAAGAGAATTGTACATGAAAGTATTTACACAAAGTTCCCAAAGCCCTGTGGATTATGCATTAGTTTGGATAATGAACTAGTATAGATAGAAAGAAAAGAAAATCTGGGTATTCGTGCCATTTCTAATGTGTTTCCCTGAACATTTGCCAAACAATAACCCTTTAAGATTGTGCCCATGGAGGGTTATATGGCAGGAGAAACATCTGGTTTATTTCATTGCCTAATGCCAAATCAAAACACTTGGCCTTTAATTTAGAGGAGATCAAACAGGAGGACTGTTTAACTTTGTTGATTATATCAGACCTCTTTGTGATAACTTATGTTTTGATTCCTACCTCGAACTGGGGTAAAGGCCTTTGTACCGTCTGGGTAGTTAAATAGCCACTGGTCCCCTCACAAAAGAAAAGAAAATGTAGGGAAGTTGACTTCTAAAAGTAATTCATGAATTAAGTTTCTTTGTTGCTTTAGACTCAATAACATTAGCATAACAAAGCCTAACTGAAATGTACACTGTAGTGTTTAAAAAATTGGACTAACAGCTCCGAGCTTTGGCTCTGCAGGCTCTCAATTGTGGGGCTTTTGTCTGAGAGCCTTTTCATTAGACCCTGGCATATTGGCACCCCGCTGATTGGAATGGACCATGACTGATAGGAGGAGGAGCCTCATTTGTTGCAGTAAAATGAGTCATGTTACCGTTTAAGCCTGGCAGAAGGTGTCAGGGCTGTTCATCATTGGTCATTTAACAGCGCAGCGGCCGGGACTGCATGCAGAATGAGTTCTGACCCCGGGTTTTCCCTGTGGCTTTGCATTAATGCAGGTCTTCTCTTCTGAGAAATTACAGCAAAACAACATGGGCAGGTAGAGCGGTGGAAAACGACTGGTTTTGAAGGAAACTTCATGGCCTTTGTTCTGACACCATCCTCATTCTGTAGCTTCTCTGTCCCGAACTCTCTACTGTTCCCATTCTGACACCCAAGACTTATTTTTGTAGTGATCCGCAGTGCATGAATTTCCTACAGGGGTCTGAGGTAGTTTGTTCTTTTAAATCTGTTTTTCGTTCTAGCATGTATGGAAAAGAGTGGGTATTTCCATTAGGGAACCGGTGGCCTCTTCTAAGGGAAGACTGTGATAGGCCGGGAAGGAGCCTGCGGAGTCCTGGTTTTGTCGGTTCAGATAATACTCCCTCAACTTCACCGAGGCCCAGCGTATTGTTGGCCAAATGCTGACGCGTGGCGCTGTCTGCGCGCGGAGGCATCACCGCACCGCTGGTGAAGGTTTCTTTTTAACAGCAGTCTGATGACTGACAAACCCTGGTCTCTGCTAAGGGAAAACAGGTTTGAACTGATGGGCCTATAAAATACGTTCTGAACTCCATAGTCAGCCTCGACACCTACTCAGTTCCCTTCGCAAAACGAAGTTTCCGAGGATCTGGATGTTAAGTTTTAATTAAAGCTTTAAGCATTGTCTGTTTTTATAAAGACTTTTGAAGTACATTGATAGGAAGGAATGAACTGTTGCAAGTTGAGGCATAGTACCTTAAGGGAGCAATTGATAGCGAAATACAAGAGAAAAATGGTGTGTGGTGCAGTTTTCAGCTGGTTTTTGTGTGGTAGGTACCAACAGTAACCAGAGCTGAATGCTTCCTCGGGGTTTTCTCCTGCGACGGGTTAGTTCCCAGAAGATAGCATGTGTTGACTGCTAAAATGTTTTATCTCTCTCAAGTTTGGGAAGTCATTGTTCCTCCGCATTTTCCTGACGCTTGGTTTGTTACAATAATCTGTGTGCTGTTCTCCTACACCCACCGCTCCCCTTCAGTGATAAAAAGGCCGTAATTGCTGCTGCTGTTACAAGAAGGAAGATCAGTTATACTTGTGTCGCTATCGAATACAGGCTCTGCTTATTTTGACAGCTGCTTGAAAGTGAAAGTTCTCTGGATGCTTTTAGAGCCTTGAGTGTAACAAAGCAGAGCTGCAGATCAAGTTGGGGGTTTTTTATCAGTCCAGCATCAAGAGTGACGATTGAAACAGAGTCCTAATAGCTGGTTTTTTTCTGTGTGTTCTGACATGTATTGATACACGATCTCTTTCGTCTGTTGTTAGATTTATTCTCCTGATCATACCAGCAGTAGTTTTCCATCGAATCCATCGACACCGGTTGGGTCACCATCACCTCTTACAGGTAGAGATTAGCCATTTGTCTAACATGCTTGTTGTTTTGAAAACGTCCTGTTCGGGATCACAGCGGAGTCCGCAGTAGCTTCCTCGCGTAACTGCCTCTGTTTTGTTTGTTTGTTTCCGTTGTGCTAAACGCAGCTGTAGAAATCCAGGTTCTTCACCGTTTTGTTACGAGCATTCGCTTAAATCCTGGCACCTGGCTTTGGGAATTAGCTTGTTACAGTGATTTTTTGCAAACCTTGAATGACCGTATCGTACCGCAGCCCTAAAGGTACCTGCCCAGACTGTACCCTTGGAGAGGAGTAAGTGCAGTTCGCTTGGGGGTTGCTTTTGGAAAGCTGTCTGTTAAAACCCTGCGGCAGCCTTCGGCGACAAGCGCAGCAGATGCGTGCTGCCGCTGATGAAAGTGCGGTGGGCTGTGAGACTGTCCGGTTTTACACAGCGTAGCTTCATTCCTCTCTCCCCTGAATGCCCTCTTTCTGTGGGAGAAGCATGTCTGGCATCTTTCGAAACAAGCGCTGTGCACTGCAGGCACCTCTGTCACCTGTGCTTTGTGTGTTGGTCCGTGGATGTGGGAAGAAGCATTCCAGCGTGGAGATGAACTGTGGGCAGCTGCCTACAGCTATTAGCGGGTAGTGCAGCTCTCACAGACACTGTGGCCTCAGCTGTCTAGTAAAAGTTGAACAGCTGTTCTCCATATAGAGAGGCCCGTGAAAGCTCCATTGACTTAAATTTGTTGTTTAACAAAGAACTAGAATTACAAGCAAGATGATGTAACTTTAACCCTGTTCTTTCCCCTAGTGCGGTTTGGTAAATTATTTAGCGTTTATACAACAGTCTGGTTTCCCCTTCTTTGTTGTCTGATGTGTCCCCGCAGACTCCTGGCTGTTGGTCACTTGTTTGCGGGGCTGCTTTGGTGTTCGTAAGGAACCAGGAGTAACGTGCAGTGGAAGGTGTGCAGGGTGGGGCCAGCTGCCGCCTGCATCCGTAAATTCCTCACGTTAGCGCACGCAGAGCGCGCTCGCGTGCGTTGTGAGTGAGTGGGCAGGTTTATGTACGCAGTGTCGCTCAGACGGGCAGCGTTCGTGCTTCGCTCACGTTGGCTGGGCGCTGTGCTGGTGTTCTGGGGACTTAGTGGGTTTCTGGGTGTCTGACAGGGCGTACCTGAGCGGCTGTTCTGGGCCTTTTGTGTCTGTAACGGAACAGCCGTGTTGAATTGAGCAGTGACGGGTCTAATGGGGTTTTGATTCGGTGAGTACAGTTGGCAGAACACGTTTTGTGTATCCTTGTTGTACCAAAAAGGCAGGTCAGACCAGGTCACCACTTCTGTTTCCGTTTTACCATCAAAGCGGGTAGCGCAGAGAGCACTGTGGCTGGGGAAAAGTAGTTCTGATGGCCCTGAGCATTTCAGGTTTTAAAGATCCCACTTGGAGTTCCCCGAGTAGACACCACACCGGGTTCTGTAAGCATGAAAGCGCTAGCTGACTTCTGGAGTCAGGATACAAATTTGAGGTCCCTGAAGTGTGAGTTTTCCCTCTGTGGTCGATGACTCTCTGTTGGGACCTGTATCGAGTGTCGAGCTCTCCACAGCTCGCGCTTTGGTGTGCCCTCCTCAGCCTGGATCTGTGGCTTAGGCAGTAGCATGTCCAGGGAAGGAATATTGAAACCCATCTCAGGTGCAAACTTAGCATCTGCCTCCCAATTACACCACCCCTGCCCCGCCCCCTTCAATTCCAGTGATACAGAATTTATCAAGCCTCTGGTAAATTGCTCCGGTAGTTAATTACCTTCGTTTATGAATCTGGACTTTTATCTTTACTCCCAGATGAGTCACTAAGAACACAGTGAAGCACAATGTGAAGTCATTACTACTATATTTATTGCTTTTTATGCCCCTGGTAGCCATTTTCTGTCCTGACCCAAAAAGTTATTGCGGATAAAACAAATGTTTTATGTGTACTAAAATAATATATTTTGGGGCATTTTAGCCTTCATTGTGATTTTCCTCGTTTGCAGTTAGCTGTGTGCTTGTTTAGCATTCTTATTATTACAGATCTGACTAAGTCATGACTTTCCTATCCTTGAGTGGTGAATCACAGTAGGAGCACTCGGTCTGCATGGGGAGGGAACGACATCGGGGGACGCTGCAGCCTGTCAGCCCCTGGTTGGCTGGCTGGCTGTTACCTGACTGGATAAGGGCTGACAGCATCTTTTTTAGTGACTGCAGTGAGAGCTGCGAGAGGAACGTGATGAAACCTCCCAGGCTGCGTGAGACAAGAGTGTGACTCTTCTTCCCCCTGCCCTTCTTTCATTTCTGGTGGGGTGACCCTGCCCAGCGAGTAGCTGCTCCCACGGTGACTGTCTGCGTGTACGTGGAGTTTCCAGACGGATCCGAATGGTGGGCACCTCGCAGAATCCTCCTCCTGGGATCAGAGGTTCCAGGGTGTTCGGTGGGTTCTGGGGATGCCAAAGCAGCCCTCCGCCAACTCCGAGGCAGGGTGTGTTTGAAAGGGGAGTCAGGGGATTAGTGCTGGGGAGACTCGAGAGTAGGAACAATACCGCAGTGATTACTGTCCCTGACCCCTGTAAATCCCAACACTCGCCGGGCTTATTTGGTTTTTTCCTGCTGCTGCGCGGGCGCTGCACTAAAAGCTGCAGTTGTTAATTGCAGGGCTTGCGGTGCCAGCCTGCTTTTTAGTGTAATTGGTGGATTTCAGGCACAAACTCGGGGGGTGGGGGATGAGAGAGCAGGAAATCGGAGCCATCTGGCAACCTGCGCAGACATGGGGATGAGCGTGGCACTGCTCGGAAAGAGCAGGAGCACCAGCCATGCTAGAGGTGCGCCTGGAAAGCGCAGGTTGGGCGTGGGTGGGTGAGAGGAGGAGTTGGGCGTTCCCTCCCCCCTTTTCCTATTGTCTCCCTTGGGAGAAGTCCCACTCTGAGTTTTAAGGAAATAGTACCTTTCTGCCTTAAAACCAACCCAAGCTTGTCCGAGTGGGCTCCGGCTGCCTCTCTGTTCCCCATCCGGCTGATGCTGCTGGAGGAAGCGGGGTGCTCAGGCCTGCGGTGGGGAGCCCTCGCTGGTGCCGTGGCTGTGGTCGGGTCTCTGAAGCCGGAGCTGTGCGCAGATACGGGTCGAGGCCCTGCGCTAAGCCACAGTAGCCCGACGTCCTTTCATTAACGCTTTGCGAGATGAGTGGGACTCCAAGCGTTGTTCCCAAGGTCAGGAATGACAGTAATTTAGAGGGAGACTGCGGATCCAGACCCAGAGTAGCTGTGTGAAGTGAAAATTGGTAACTGTCAGCTTACTGATGTTGTTGTATTTTCAAAGAGAATTCCAGCATGGTTATGGCAGCTCTGGGCTTTTATGGAATTGGAGATAGTTTATTTTTTTTTAATTAGAAAGGAAATATTTAGGTACTTTAATGGCTCTGCAAGCTGTACCCTTTTTGTTAAATAAAACCCTTTCCTTCGGAGGTAACTACTTGCAGCTCTCTGAACAAAGGAACTGTAATGTTATTAAACCTTTTCCCAGTTTTCCAGACGTACAGCTCTGGCTGTTATTGAAAGAACAAGCCCACGGGCTCTTCCTTTAATGAGCTGCTTTGGATTGCATGTCCATAATTTATTAATGTAATTGCTGTATTATTACATCTGTATGGCTGAAAGGAAGCTGTCTCTAATGGACGTAGGATTTCATGCCGCGTCTTTATGAAAGGTGCGTTATTCGTTGGTGAGGAAAAGGCACGTTGTGGTACCGGAGGCTGTTTTAAAAGTACTGCTTCATTCATTACTGCATCTCGCCTCTGACGGTTCCGAAATTCCGCGGGGCGGTCGGGAGCGGCTCTCTGCGATCAGCAGGGACGTGTGCTTGCATCCCCGGCGTATGGGCGATGCGGGTCCCGCTCTCCGTTGGTTGCACCGTGATTCTGCAGCCGCGAGTCTGCCTCGACTGTGTCTGCGGGAACAGATGGGAGTAACGGAGGTGTAGCTGTACTCCACCAAAGCCGGAATGCCTTTCGTTCTAAAGCGGTCTGGTGTAGACCCAGAAAAGGCCAAGTTTGTAGATCTAGTTTTAAGTTGTCTTATTCAGTAGAAAGGTGTCATAAAAATGATTTTTCCAGTTATTCAGTGTCTGTTTGTCTTTCAATATTTTTGTTGTGTATTTCAACACTGTTGAAGCTGTGCCTACCTCTGCTGAGCGTTATCCGAAGAAGACACGGTTCCGTGATCTTTCTGTGCTGACCCTAGCAGAGGCAGGTATTTCAGATACGGTCTGGGTGTCTGCTTTTTTGAGGCTGAAGTCCTCGGAGGGTGTCACTGCTCTGTCATCGTTCATGTCTGTAGCCATACAGGTGCCAGGATATAGAGGCTGTGCCCCAGCGAGGCAGAATGAGGGGAGTTGTCTCCCTCGGTGCGTACCCGCATGCGAGCTCACCTTTACGCGGAACGCTCCGGGTTTAATCGTGGTGGGAAATCCTGTGCCTCTGCTTCCCGCTTGCGCTGCCGAAAGCTGTGCGTTAACCTAGATGATTTTGACAGGTGCCAGTCAGTGGTCTAGGAGCGGAGGACAAGCCCCCTCATCTCCAAACTATGAGAACTCTCTACACTCCTTGGTAAGAACCGCTGAAAGCGACGTCGCGCTCCGTCCCGGCGGGCTGGCGGCTTGGTTTTGTGTAACTCCGCATGTCATTAAAGGGAACAGTGGGATAGCATTACAAATGAATCCTCTGCTAACAAATGGCCTGTGCGCTGGAACAATATGAGACGTGCAGGGTGTGTCTTTCGCCATCTGTTCCTTGGGCATCAGGCGTCAGCGCTGAGGACAGCTGGTGCTAAAGCGCTGTTACGAGATTCTGGTACCTTTTCACAAATCCACAGCTAATGCTTCTCCCAAGTTCAGCCAGGAGGAAAGATAAAGACTTCATGCCTCCGCATTTACTCGGCCCTCTCTCCCTGCAACGGTGGTCTCCTGGGCTTGTTTTCGTTCCACTGTCACTAATGTATTTTATTTGTTATTGGGGAATGTTCGTTTACTAATTAATGAAGCGTCTTGCAGAGAGACAGACAGGAAATGCTCTACAGCCATGCGAATTTCCTTCTTCGGAAGACTCGGCCGAGGATTTCGGTTACTGGCTTCTTTCTTAATGTCTGATACAGCATCGGGAAGGGAAGGGGGGAAGTTTGAGGGCAGGTTTTGATTTCCTGTTAATATTTCTAGTTTCCACAGATGTAATTTCATTTTTCTGTCTGACAAGAAGGAGTTTAAGCTAAACCAGTTTTCTTCAGTACGTTTGCCGTTAAATGTTATTGATTTGTACATCTCCGAATCCTAACGTAACTGCAGTGGTAAATAAATATTAGACTTTTCTTATCTTAAGGTAATCAGATCTCTGTGGCATTAACTTGACTAACAATGTTTTGCTGACATGCACATCAGCTGTTTCCTCACCTCTTTTTTGAATTAATCTTAACCTGTGCTTTGCTTCCTGTTCTGTCTTGACTTTGCCAGAAAAATCGAGTTGAACAGCAACTTCACGAGCATTTGCAAGATGCGATGTCCTTCTTAAAGGATGTCTGTGAGGTACTGTTTCACTTTAGATGGTGCCTTTTTGTGTTTCCACTAATGCTTCCTTCGCATTCCCCATTAAAAACTTAAATTAGTGTAGCCTGTGACCCATCTTCTGACTTGGACATTCTGCTCTTTCAGTTTCTGCAGAGCTGCAGTGTCACAATTAGTTTTGCTTTGGGGTTGTTTTTTATTTTGTTTTGGTTTTTTTAAAGGAAAGTAATTTTAAGACAGACTTTTCTGCAGTAACATACAGAACTCGCTTTTTTTCTCTCCGAAATGTCTGTTTACAGATCCATTTGAGACAACGGTACCCTAAAGTTTTGTCCAGTTTTTCATAATCCAGGTCCTCAAAAAGCCACTACGTGGTGAGGCTGGTGTTATGGTCCTTCTCTCTCGCCCTGTACTAGGTAGCTTGTTTTGTAGCACTTCCTTTTTTCTTGTTCATGCCATGTAATAGAAGCTGAGTAACATTAACCTTATAATAAGCTTCACCTTAAAAGCTGCCACCTATTTGTGGAATGAATGCTATCTGCAGCAAAATCTCCAGATATCTTTTCTTTTTCCTGTTTGTTTGTAGTGCTGGTAGGTGCTTTCTAAGTCTTTTGATACCGCATTTCATCTTCTGCCTTTAATAGCTCCGAGGTAGAACCCGTTAGGGTACGGCGCGTCGGCAGAGTCGGTCGGTAATGGCTGTTGCTGTCCCTCTTGCACCCCAACAGCAGTCTCGGATGGAGGACCGCTTGGACAGGCTCGATGATGCCATTCACGTACTACGAAATCACGCTGTGGGGCCTTCCACGAGCCTATCCGGTGGCCATGGCGACATACATAGTTTATTGGGACCATCCCACAACGGGCCGATTGGAAGCCTGAACTCAAATTATGGAGCATCCAGCCTTGTCACAACCAACAGACAAGCATCGATGGTAATGATATCTTTTTTTCAGCGTGTCTGTGTTTATGCAGAGATTGCAGGTGGCGCACTTGAAGTCTTGTAGAGCCTGGTGAGGTAGAACTGGGCGGTAAGGTTAATCTTTATTGGGAAGAAACCACTCGGGATCCTCGAGGAGGAGAGGATGGCAGGCGGCTTGCACCTGCTGTGGGTTCCCAATCAGAGGGTTGGGGTGGGGATGGGCAGAAAGGAGGGGGAGGAGGAAGATGGGAAAACTTAGACTTTGGCCTGGTCAGTGGCCCATAAAATCCTGCTGTGACCATATGCAGAAAGCTGAAACTTTCTGCTGAGAGCATTTCAGCTTATACATGCATTTTTTCCAGATGTGTAATAATTGGCAGAACAGTTTTCTCCTTGAAATGGTGAATAGGGAGACTGAATGGGAAAAGCAGTCAAGAAGGACTGGATTTCAAGTGTTCTGGTCTGGAAAAGCTGTTTATTGTAAATCTGAACTAGTCTTCAATAGCAGATGCTGGCAGAGGACTGGGAGGAAGCTGTTGGAATGTGGAACCATAGTGTGCGCAGGCTCAAAATTGAAACTTTTTTCTAAATGAAAAGGAGTTTGAGCACAGCTGTAGCGTAAGTAACAATGAAGAGGAAACAACTTGGAGATTAATCCCCAAGAAGAGTGCCATAATTCAATCCATCTCTTGGTTTCTTTAAAAACGTGAACGGTTCTGAAAACATGTCGTGGAGCTTTTCACAGATCAGAAATACGTTAAAAGGGTTACATGCTAAACGGAATCTATTTGGAGCATTGCTCACTTCCCTTCTCCTTCCTTTTCATTCTTTCCTTCTCCAAAAATGCTTAAAGGGAAAAGAGCTTTTTAAAACATGCTTATTTTAGTGGTGCCATGTGGTTGCATGTTTACAGCGTAATTTTAAAGGCCAGTTACATGCTGTGAAATTTTCTGTTATAAAACAGATTCACAGCTGGGTTCTGTGTGATCAAGGCAAAATTTCACCTATCATCAAAATAATTAGGTACCCCGATTGCTGAAGGGTTTGTATTCTATAAACCAGAATTAGTTCCAGGCTCTCCCATTCGCACGTCACGCATCCATTTATATTAATTTCAGAACCACTGCAGTAAACATCAAAAAGAACTGGTCGCTTTCCATGAGCTGCATGTGTCGGGGGGCTTTTGGGGAGGGGGCGCTTTCCAGGCACATACGCGGCTTTAGGTTTGCGTACAAGTCTGCGGGTACTTTCCGTAATGGAGGGAGGGGTGCGCACGCACTCCAGCATTTTCGACACTCTCCCCTATTCAGTATTTAAAGAATGTTCCGGGGAGGTTTTACAGTGTTCTGGGTGGACTACAGTTCAGTCATGCAACAGCAAACGCTCTCCCCTGGCTCTTCGTGAGGGGGGCTTAGGTGAGTGACTGCCATTGCAGTGACGGGGTGGTTGCGTAGGCGACTTGTGGAGCCTTCCTGTCCTGCTGAGCCAGACGCGGTCCAAGGCAGGTAGGGCCAGACTCTGCTGAAAACTCTGCTTCTCTTTTAGTCTGAGCTGTGATAAACCCTTTATCAACTCATTTTTGATCAAAGTAGTTGCCACTGGAAAGGGACTCTCCCAACTGAATGAAGGTTCCTCAGTCTGCTGTCCGTTAATGTAGCTGTGCAACGTCAGTGTAATACAGACTTGGTTTGTCATCTGCTCTGACTGAAAGATGCTTCCGCTCTGTTAGAGATCAGCTCAGAACAGGACTCTGTATTTCATCCTCCCCCGGGGGAAGCAAGCTGGCGCATCAGCTTGGGCTTCCAAAGTGAGGCAGCTGAAGCATTTCTTGGACTCACCTTGAATTTGTTACCTCAGGATAGTTGGCTTCAGCCGGAGGCATCCTGTCACAGCCTTGCCCGCTCCCCAGAGCGTGCACTTGGTCATCGTATGCAACTGCAGAGCTCGGCAGGACTTAGGAGGGAGTCCTGAAATAGGCCCAGGGCAGAGGGTGGCACATCTGGCAGCAGGGAAGTGATGGGTTTAGCAGTGAAGGCGAGGTGCCAGTAATGCCCCCCCAGGAGGTGTAACTCTTACGCTGTGCAACCATCAGTTGGTTCAATCTGTACCTACTTACCCTTTGTTTTTCTTGAAGTAGTACACGCAGGAGAGAGGCGACGCGTCTCTCAACCTGCACTGAAGGTCTGGGCTCTGTTCAGGAATTGAACACTGCTTTTCTTGAGAGAACCTCCATGAAATTCGAAGACAACAATGAGTACTGGCTAATGCTGAGAAATGCCAGCACTGATAAGGGTGTTTGCCTGGTTTGGTTTGATGTGCTTATGGGGTTTTTTGGTCAAGAAATGGTCATTGGGATTCAGCACTAAATGAACCCTCCTTGTCAAGGGCGGGGGTAATCTTTGCACAAAACACTTTTGTTCTTTAGGGGGAAAAAAAAAAAAAACAAGAAAAAAAAAACCCAGAAAAAATGTAAATTGAATTTCCCTTGAAGAAGATGATCTTGGCAGAAGGAGCTAGGAAATGAGTAATTTAACTCCTTTTTATGTAATTAGTGTAACCAGACATGGTTTTATTTTAACATTTGCTTAATTTTTGAGCCAGTTTTATTTTAAAACTCTAGTTGACTTCATTTCCTGCTCGCTCTGAATGGTCTTGTTTTCTTTTTAGCTGGGCTGGCCATTAGACTTACTCCAATAGATTTTTTTAATATCTCAGACTCATCAAATATTTGCTAAGTGGCCTTTGAAGTTGATTTCTATTTTATTTCATGTATTATTGAAAAGTTAAGAAGTAATACTCCTTTTGTTCTTATTCAAGCTGCTTTTTATTTGTCATTGTAATACAAGGGAAAAAGAACAGCCTGAATTGATTAAAAATAAATAAATAAAAGGCCTGGAAACTCAGTTAAGGATGAAACTGAATCTTTAAGTCACAGGGCTTTTTCCAGGTAGAGTAGGAATCTAAGGAAAGTGGTGATCTCCCTCTTTCTGCCCCGGCTCTGCTGCAGTGGAAAAGCAGGGAAGGGCAGTTGCAGCTGCCCTGCCGACACCAAGCCCTGCTCTTGCTCCAAGCCCTTCCAGCAGCAGTGCTCCTCCACGGAGACTGCTCCCACTGAACTGCTCCCACTGAACTGCTCGGAGCTGTCTGAAGCGTAAACATTTGGTTCCAAAGCGATGTTTTAATTGTGCTCACCTTAGTTGAAATGTTAATGACCAGCCAGAATGGCTTGAGAAGTGCATTTATTTGTTATTTGTAGGCTTAGGTAGGTCCTGGGGCACATATGAACGAAGAGTGCTGGTTATTTTTTCCCTAGTTCTTAATTTTTTTTCTACTTCTTAAAAGTTTTTATGGCTCATAATTCAAAATTAACCATCAAGCTGAGGTGCAGAACCAGGGCTAAGGTGTCGTTTCCCTCGGGCCACTCCCGGTTCTGCCTGCTGGGGTGCCCTCGCGTGCTTTGCCTCGTTTGTATTTTGCTGCCAGAAACTCCCACGGGGGTTTCCGGTTTCAGGTACCAAACGTTATCACTTAAAGCAGCTGAACCAAGTTGGGCACCCCTGTTTCTTTAGGGTTTAGTCTGAGCGTGGCTGCAGATTGTCCTGCGTGGGAGTCGGCCTTGAACTGCGTGACAGTAACCAAAGGTTCACCTGGCAAAAGGCAACCTGGCGCCTTAGCGCGGGATGCTCTTTGCCGCAGCCCGGGGGTGCCCCGGCCGGCGGGCGCGGGCAGCTGTTTGCTCATGCGGGTCCGGGGGGAAGAGGGGGCCGCAGCATCAGGCCGGAAGCACTGGGGTCACGAGGGGGAGCTCTGCCCGCTGAGGAGCGCTGCCCCAGCCGGGCACTGCCAGGCGGGGAGGGCAGGGGCTGTGCCGGAAGGCTGGGCACACGGGGTTTTTGTGAGTGCGCTGCCCGGACTGACGCTCCATTGAAACGCAGGTGGGGAGCGCCTCTTCTTCCTTGAGGCGGGGAGTTGAGGGGAGGCAAAGCAAACCAGGCTGTCCAAACCCCATGTTTCAGGCGCCAAAGGTCCAGGCTGGTACCTTGCAGCAGCCCCCGATAAGCGGTGCTTACAGCAAACGGCTCTCGGCCGTCGTGTGGGACGCGGTGGCTTTCGGCCGCTTTCTGGCTTGGGGGATTTTGTCTGTCTGGATTTTCTCGTACGCTGTAGATCAGAGGTAAAAATTCAGGTTGTGGTCAGCTTTGTCACACTTTAGCTCTTAGATTAACAAGATGCATAGAAAACTTAAGTGGGACGCTCTGAATTTGTAAACCTGTTTCAGAGGACTGGAACATGGACTTGAGTTCAGGTTCTGTTTCTAATCTGTTTGCTGCCCTTATCAGAACTGATTTGCTAATCTGTCACTCTGGGATTAGCTCTAGGTATGAAGGCTGCCAGGTTTCTGGCACCTGCCACGCATGTACGCAACTCTGAGAAATTTTTGCCTTTTTTTGACTCAAGAGGTAGATCTTGGAACAGACCTGGCCCTGGCATGATTAACAGTCCGTAGCTTGAATAAAAGCACCCTCATGTGTTCGGACCGCGCATGACCAGGAGAATGAAATAAAGCACACAACCTGCGGGGCAGAAACGGGGAGACTCGGGTCCGGACGTTCGCTGTGGAGAGTGACTTTCACATTACCCTTGGTGAAGGGTTTCGTCCCGCGGGCTGAAAGACCCCGGCTCCACTCCTTCCTCCCAGTGAGCTCATGACAGTCCGAGAGCTGCGATGCCTGCATCCCTAGTAGAACTTCTCGCAAACAAAGCCTGTTACACACAAAGGAAGATAAAATATACTTTAAATAGCAGCAGATATTCCGCAGGAGGAGATTTGCTGCCGAACAATAGATACAAAGAGCAGCCCGGAATGACCTGATGTTAGCTGTGGGCTGTCGGGGGGGTTTCCCCCTGTGCCTTGCTTGTTCCTGTGCATTAGCTTACAGGAACGGGTGTATATTAAACAAAGGATAAACTTGCATAAGGGTATTTATCTCTCTGGGTAAAACCCACACTAAGACATGAAAGGTAAAAGCTGCATTAATTACTCAAGAGGGATTCAAAGCTCAGCAGTTTACTAGGATTGAAGGATTTATTGAAAAACAGTGGTTCTCATGTGTAACTCCAGGCAATAAACCTATTTAATTAAAGGCTTAATCTTCTAGTTGACATGTTTGCTACTGTTCCAATAAAAAGCTTCATCTGTAGCCAATTTTTGTAACTATACAAATAATAGCAGGATCCCTCATCTTTGTTCAGTGTTTTAACTGTTTAATTGTATTATCTTGGTTATATTATAAATATTTAAAAGACTTTTCTGTCTTTAGGAATCAAAAGCTCTAAACGGTCCGTGTTCCACATTAAATACAGGCAGTGTGTCTTTACCTCTTCCTTTTTCAAGCACCAGAATATGGGATTTAAGGGACGTTTGCCTTGATAAGGGTACTGTGCGCTGAGCAGCAGCTTTTTACCCAAGGTGCCCCTGCAGGCGGGGTGTGTGCGCTTGCCCGTGGGACCTCAGTAGCGTCCGCTCAGGTTTAGGCAGAATTAGGATTTTTTAAAGAGTCTTCATCTGGAGTGCTTGCTGCTTAGAAACGTAATCGTGGTGTGTTACGGAGCAGCGGATTAGAAAATACTGAGAGGTGGTAAGTGTAATGAGGTGCCTGGATCGGTTTCATACGATACGGTGAGTTGTTGGTCGCATTAGTTTAGAGCGATCGATAGTTAATCAAAACTTACAGCCCTCAGGTATAAATCCAGGAGGAAATTCGGTAGTGTTCCTGTGGGAAAACACTGAAAAATTCTTTGGCTGGGTGGCTACCTTGTTCGGAACAGGTGTTGGTCACTGCTTGAAACACAGCTTAATCCAGTGTGGTGTTATCAGGTGGTTTAGTGTAACAGCATCTCTCAGCAAAATCTTTCCTCTACTGAGCTAGAACTTCAACTCGGGTCTCTAATCCAGCAAATACTTTAAGTCTTTTAAACTTCTATTTTTGGACTGGTTCTGTGAATGACATCTTGAACAGCAATGTTTGCTTTGCTTTGCTCTAGGTTGGGACTCATCGGGAAGAAAGCGTCAGCCTCAACAGCAACCATTCGGTTCTTCCCAGTACAGTTTCTGCCCAGAGCACGGAGCTAAATCACAAAACGCAGGAAAGCTACAGAGGTAACTCCGGCACACGAAATGCTGAACGGGCGGTGCAGGAATCCAGAGCCAGCAAGGCTGTAGGTCTTGGTAAACGTGCATCAGCACAGGGGATAGGGACAGAGAGAACGCTGAGTGACAAAAATGCGTTAGAAATCCTATAAACCATCCCTGCTGGGGCCTGCTGGAACAGTTCTGAGGCCATCCCTGTGTCAGACTCGTCCCAGCGTGGTTTCAGCAGACGTCTCTGCATTGCAGCCACCTTCTTCCAGCTCAGGGAGCCACCATCCTGTTGGCAGTACTGCAGCCGATCCCACACCAGCCCAGGGGTTGCAGAGTGAGCCGAGGCCGGACTTTGCTCTAGCCACTAAAAGGAAGTCATTCCACACAAGTGCTTAGAGTCCCCTCAGTTTTTAGCCTGAAGAAGTCGGCTATAGAAAACAGAAGTCAGCTTCTTCGTTAGCAATGCTTGCACTGCTTAGGGATGTGTGCTGCACGTTTGGCTCACGCCCAGGCCTTGATGTAGGTGCAGCTCTGCCCTTGGACCTGCAGCCCAGACACGAGGCGCAAATTTCCTTACCCCAAAGTGTCCTTTTGTCTTCAACGGTGCCTTTCTTAGATCAAGCTCTTGCTGATTGAGCTGCTCTGTGAATTTTGGCCCTTTACAACCCGTGACACACGCCCAAGTACAGCAGTGTTACCAGATCTCTTGCGTCTGTTGCCAGAGCGTAGTTCCTCCTGCTGTCTTCCCAGACTTCCCGGCCCTGGCTTCCCATCCACAATACCTGCTTGAGGGTCTCGTAACTGTTTTGCTCCTGTGACGCTCATGCTGATCTCTGGTTGCTCGCAGCGTTGTCAGGTGGCTTACCGAGCCAGTCTGTGGCCATAGGTCCAACAGAGATCAAGTCTGAACATAAGGAGAAGGATGAAAATATACATGAACCCCCCTCATCGGATGACATGAAATCAGACGATGAGTCCTCCCAGAAGGATATCAAGGTCTCATCTAGAGGCAGAACAAGGTGGGTTGCTGCTGTGACCTAGAGAATTTGTGCTTTGTTGGTGCTCTGTGGCATGTTGTCCTTTAGTTTGATAAATTTATTTCCAGGCTTTTCCATTACCTCAGTGCATATATTAGGAGGCAGCTAAAAGCGAGAAATAATTTAGAGCATTTGTATCTATTTAAATACGAGATTGAGGACTTCTGGGAAAATCACCTGGCCAGTGTGCCTTCCCTTATGTTAGGGCCTTGCCTAGTACCTGGCTGTGCAGATAAGTAGTGAAAGGTTCCCAGGGCCCTGCCTGGCATAGCGGGTGGGAGAAGGTTGGGAAGCTGTGATACTTGGTACCCGCTCCAGGGTGTGCTTCTAACTGTCAGCCAGCCGCAGTGGAACGGCAGCCTGCTAACCCACAGGCTGGGGTGATGCTATGGGTAAATATCGTTTCTAGACACTTCTTCCACTCCCTAACCACGGACAAAAAACTTAGAGTTGTCACTAGATAAAACGCTCCTGGATCTGGCCAACAGGCCTGACACATACTGAGATAACAGTAAACAATCGGAATTTTGCAACCACAGGCAGCAGGGTCTGTACCATCACACGTGCCTAATGGCATTTCAGTGTATTGATTTTAGTAGCGCAGAGGTTTTGTACAGTTCTAGACTGAGTTGGACAGTCCTATATTAAAAAAAGGCTGTGCAACTTAATATAATCATTTGAAACGATACAGGAATTCTAAATAGAACAGCTTAGCATTTAGCTCTATACTGAGTATTAGAAGAAAAGATAGTTCTAAAACTGGCCAGAAAGGTCTTTAATAAAACTAAATATTTTTAATAAGCACATTAAATGGAAATTTCTTGAATGCCTTTTTATATAAACTGATATATTGGAAAACTAGCAAAACCTGTGTGTTAAACTCTTCCTCCTTCGCCTAACGAGACAGCCGAGTTCTCTTAACTGTATGAGCGTTTGTCAGCCATGAAGAGGTACTTTGGGTACATCTTTTGCTTCAAGGAGCAGCGTGTTGCCACTGCTCTGCCTGGCGGGGTTTACGTCTGTTGACAGCGTTCCATGGATTTTCTTCAGGTGGAAACCATTTACATCTATTTTTGGGAAAAAGCAGGAACGGCACGAATTACCTTGAATACTTCAGCATTGATGTCTAACACTTTCTTAGTCTAAATATGCTTCAATATGGAATAGATTAAGTGGGAAGTAGTTTAATTTCGTAATTGAAGATTTTGGAACCAGCAGCAGGATCCACTTGTTTGGAATAGCAGTGATATTTCAGTGCGCTTTTATTTATGCTTTCTTGCAGCAGTACTAATGAAGATGAGGATTTAAACCCCGAGCAGAAAATAGAAAGAGAAAAGGAGAGGAGAATGGCAAACAATGCCAGAGAACGCTTGCGTGTACGAGATATTAACGAGGCGTTTAAAGAACTTGGCCGTATGTGTCAGCTTCACCTGAAGAGTGAAAAACCACAGACGAAACTGCTTATTCTTCACCAGGCTGTGGCAGTCATCCTCAGTCTAGAGCAGCAAGTGAGAGGTCAGTAGCCATCACGGTGCTGTGGAAGGGTAGCTTTGTCCGTGGAAAAGTGTCGGGCCCTTGAAATCTGCGTCGCTAGATGCACGTCTGCTGTTCTGCAATGCTGTCCTTTAGGAGCAGCCAAGAATTCTTTTTAAAAAGGGAGTGTTAGGTTTATACTTTGATCTTTATTTTTTCCTGAGCAATTAGCCATCTCTTCACCTCTGTTTGCAAGGTAAATTGATGAATTACAATAGTGACACATCTTGCTTTAAACTGTAACCAGCACTTTAGTAGTACAGAAGCTTTAGCAAAAAGATACCTGTTTTAAGATGAACCCCACGTAATTGAAATACTAAAATGCGGTGAATTTCACCGTGTTTACGTAGGGTTTTGCATTAAACATACACTGGGGAGGAGGAAGAAAACCTACTGGTACTTTGAATCAGGGCTCTGGTTTTGCATGTGTGTTCTTTCCCCGATTCCTTTAAAGTTTTCCAGGAAAGAAATAGGCCTATTGGTAAGTGCAGAGGGAAGAATGCTTTGTGCAGTTCACTTAAGAAAAGACAGTTCCTAGGAATCATGTTTACTTCTTCGATGGTTCTGTTCGTGTGTGTTGGTGAAGCTACAGTTGACTTTGTTCTCCCATTAACCTTGTGTCAAAGCCATGTTCAGGTTCTGATTCACTTGGGTCGGCCCTGAACTGCTCAGGCCGCTGGGCTTAGGTGGCTGTTGTAGGTCCCTGCCAAGTGCAGCAGTCCGGTGTAGGCTGTGCTGGTGTAGCTGGCACTTGCACGGGTGAGTGTCCTTGTGTTGCACTGGTTTGGGCCGGTGAATAACAGTGTTCCTTGGTGCCTCACTGATGGATGTGTATCGCGTGACTGGAAAAGTCTTTCAGGTGTGGATGATACCAGTGGTTGTATTTGCATAATGTGCTCTGTTTCTGAATCACTGATGTTACTGAATGATGTCAATGCTTTTATTTTTGTGTACCTTATTTTTACTTCCATTTCCTAACTTGGTGCTTGCATTTTGTCCTGGAGACCAAAGCAATTGATAGAGGTTCACGGAAAGTGACAAAGTGAATAACTGAACGCAGACTGACCTGCTCTGTAGTGAGGAACAGATCCTGTGTTTTCAGGCAGAGGCTTACTGATCCCGTTTTTCATGGAGACACACACAGTCTCCAGTCAGAGCTCTTCCAAGGCATAGAGAGCAACTAGTTACTGTGCAGATGGACAGCGACTAGTGCTGTCGTACAGCCTTGTCTTAGCATCTCAGACTTTGGTCTTGGGAATTGTTCTGCCCTGGAAGATGAGATTGAGTATTATGAGGAAGTCAGAAGAATGTTAATCGAGATAGTTTTAAACATGAAAAACAATGCATCAAGTCCACCTCCCTACTCTCACTGATTCTGTCATCCATAAAAAGCTGTGTGAAAATTAGTAAAATCACTTTTGCCTGTGTCAGAGGTTGCTTCTGAACCTCTGGTAGAAATCTGTTTGTTGAAGTACTTACAGACAAATTGGACCTGTTCCACAGGGAGTGTAAACGGCTCTTCCTTGCTCACCTTTACCTCGCCTTCCGCTCTTTGTGCACCGAGGAAGCCTGTCAGAAGCACACCGTGCCTCTGGTGAGGGGCTGCCTTCCCCCTCCTGTCTTGCCTGTCTTTGCACCTGTTCCTGAAAGCAGGTGACCGGAGCTTTGCGTGGCGCCCGGAGGAGCTTTGCACCCCTGCATTACAGAATCCGTAAACAACTTCCTCTCTGCTGGTGTTGAAGCTTCTCATTCTGTGATTGGTGCTATTCAAAATGAACCGTTTCGGATTGGATGCTTTAACTGTAGGCTAGCATTTTCATCTCCGTTTCCTAAATCAGTGTAAATTATCTTCCTTTCAAAGTTGCCACATAATTAAATCATCTTTAAAACTTCAAAGCAAGCCGCATTTAAACAAAGATAACTCTGATTAAGAAAAGTTAGCAAGAGATTCTTGCTGTAGAGTCTTTGGGGAGTGCTCATCCCTAGAAAATGCAGTAGGAGGCTGCTGATAATGACTGGGGTGAAAGCAGAGTTAGCAAGTCCCTCCGAAATTGCCTCTTGTGAGATTAGCTAGATTCTACCCCTTGTAAAAAGCACGGAGTCAGCAAACTGCAGTTAGTAGAGGGCAGTGAAAGAGAAGGGCTTGGGCTGGCTGTTCTGTTTTGGCAGTCTACTTACCTTCAAATTGCATCTGCAGTCTTGAACTGCAAAACAGAATTCACTGACAGCTAGAAAAATACCTCCAAATGTTGATTAAATTCAGCATGCGCTGGTAGAATACATGACACGCTTACCGTGCGTCTTTTGGCCACTGCAATTTACATCATCTACGTTTTGATTCAGGAAAAGCGGTTTCAAAGAACAGGAACAGTCAACTTTTAGAAACTGTCATTATTTAAAACTAGATCCAAATCTACATCTATTGAAGCTAATTGGGGAAGTGGAAATGTACTGATGGAAATACCTTGCTAGCTAGTCTACAGCTGTTACAAAGCACTGACCTCTGTGAGAGGAAATACGGTTTAAAATAAAATCATCCTCTTGCACTGTGAGATTGTCGTCATATTCTTTTGATTTAAGCGAGATGAGCACAAGGTGATCTCACAGATTTGAGGGTGTGAGGAGAACTATCGACTTAGGACATTGTACCTCCCCTGATCTAACAGCAGGCCAATCCTTACGGGGAAGAAAGAAGCGGTAACAGTACTACAAGTAGTGTGATGTCAATAGAAAACACCACAGAAATCTCTGGTTTATTACCTTGTGAATGGCAGGGGTGCAAATTCATCTTGCTCTTTAGCAACTCCTGGTGACAAGGGAGGCACTTTCTGAAGGTGTATGGAGGCAGCTGTTGAAGTTTGGTCGTGTTTTGCCTTCTTTTGAAGTACCAGTTCAGGAGATGGCTGGTAGGATTTTCAGTAGCACTGGTCCAGCTTGAGACACCTGCGTTTTAACACAGCAGCGTGAGTAGTTAGAAGAGGGAAGCTGCCTAGCTGTTTCTATTGCAGGGGTTCATGTGTTGATATTCCCCTTGGTGTCGGCGTGGGGGATGTTACGTGTCATTTTTCTGTTACAGAACGAAACCTAAACCCTAAAGCAGCCTGCCTTAAGAGAAGGGAAGAAGAAAAAGTTTCTGCCGTATCGGCAGAGCCGCCAACACCACACCCAGGAAGCCACCCTGGCCTGAGTGAAACTACCAACCCTATGGGTCATATGTGAACACCAGCCAGGTACGTCTCGTCTGGAGGGGAATGGCTCTTGTTGCTTGGGAGTGGCCAACATTTGGGAGGTCTGGGTATGTTTACTGAGCTGCCACTAGCACCAAACTTCTTTATGCTGAGAAGTACTTCCGTATGTGTGAGCGTAAGCAAAAGCATGCAGATTTGTTTAGTTTTCTAATAAAGCCCCAGTAAATTGTCATTAAAGTCTCTTAATTTCCATGCGTTGTTGCCAATGGCTACATCTCTTGGCTCAGGTGGCCCCCTTGGCCTGACATCAGAGGAATTGTTCACAGCTTGCTAGATAAGCCAAGCGTAAGAGATGAATGATACCTCTTTAAATGGCCTAAATAGCACATTTTTTCCTTTAGAAGTCCTACGTTTTGTTTCCTAGTACTGATACAGTCAGAATTCTCATCACAGAGATTTGCTGTCTGGCTTAAGGCCACTCGTTTTAACCTGCATCATTTGCCCAACAGAGATTGAGAACTCTCTTAATTCCCAACCTGTATGAGTGAAGACATTTTTTAAAATAACATTTTCAGCTTTGCAAGGTACCTCAGTAGTTCCAAACGCCCCACTCAGTCCAACACGAGGTAGTTTGTTTACAACATGTCAATGGGGAGGCCTTACAGGGGTATTAGTCTGTTGGGTTTATTACCTGCTGTTGGTTGGTTTCTTTAGAAAACTGGGAAAAACTTGATTTTGAGAAGAAAAAAATCTGGGTATTCCATTAAAAGAGTAGAACGGTTGCCAGAGTAAGAGATTGGGTTTGATGCCCTTATTTTATTCTGTAGCTTTACTAACTGCTACGTTTTGGGAGGTTTGTTGTTGTGTATATAGACTGTTGTGCTTCTGTTTTAGCTGAGGGTGAAGACATGCACCTTGCCAGAATGTATCCCACGAAAGTTTACTTTGCCTGGTGTTCCTCAGAAAGCAGCAAAATGGCATTTTAAACCCAGCCCTGTTTGAGTCAGTGCTTTTTCCCCTTCCCTTATAGGCAGCTTCTTTCTTCATAAACAAAATTGGTTTTCTTTTTAGGAAAACAAGGTGCTCTGAGTTTCTTTAATTTCTTTAATTCTATACCTGAGCCATAAGCTACTTCTAAATTACCAGATAATTCTTGAGTGACGGCAGACATCATAGTCCGTTCTTGCCATATAAATACAATGAACCACTTTGCTATATCTCTGCTTTTTTAATAGCACTGACTGTGAGATGAGTAAAGTGTGATGTTGCCACGAGAAGGCTGTGCGGGCTCGTTGGGGGTGTGGCGATGCCTACCTTCAGCAGTAGCGGTTAACCTGGGTACTGCCTCCTGCTTGTTCTAGGGAAGAAAGTCAAAGCCAAATCAAAGGTCTGATGGGATTTGCAGATTATTCTTTCTCCCGCGTCCAGCGGGTCCAAGCAGAACGTTGCCAGGAGTAACCTGTTCAGTATATTGTATTCTGTATGGACACCTCTGGGAAGGCGGCTTTCAAAGCCCCTCAGTGTGATTTTTCTCTTGCACTTCAGTGACTGAAAATGAAGTCATAAGATACAGTTGAAGTTAGTTCTCTAGTGTTGATGATATGCTTCTTACTGACTCTTTTCCTAATAACCCCTTTCTTCTCCCACATTTCTTTCTAGAATTCCAGAGTTATTGGTAGGATACACAGAAGGTGACCTTTCTTCACAAGGACACAGACAACTAACAATATATGAAGACACAAACCTGACAGGAGAAAACACTTGAAGCAAGAAACCCAAATGCAATCTTATGATCAAAGCTACTGGTCAACACCTGCATCAGGATCGAAGATACAAGATCTTCAGATAGAATTTCAGCCCATGAAATCCTCTGAACATATCATTCTGTTGCAAGCAGTGTGTCGCTTCTGCACAATCAGAGACTGTTGTGATCTCTCCACTCATTGTGGAAGTTGCCTTGTGCCTAAACTGAATTGACAAATGCATTGTAACTACAAATTTTATTTATTGTTATGGAACTGTAAAGGTCTACATATAAAGGGAAAAGTTAACATGTTAAAAGCTGATACAATTTCAGCTGGATGCCAGCATTTACTAAAGCTGTTCACATTCAGAGAACAAAGCAGTGACAACCGTGGACCCGTAGCATTCCCAGCATACCTATTAGTGTCTTAAAAAAGGAAGGGAAAAGTCTTTTGTTGTCCTTTCCTCTCCTTTTGCCATATGACTAGTGTTTTCCATGCAATAGGAAACTATTCCTTGGTATAGCTTTTTTTATGTTATTTTTGGTCTCTGGTAATCTGAACAGTTATGGTCACAGTCACCCTTCCATACTGAGCTCCCTGCTTCAAGCCGGAAGAGGCCTCCTGAAGGCGGCAGGCAGGAGCCATACTGTGACCATAACGCTTCTTGGATTTAAAAAGTGATTTTTGTTTTCCCTCAGACTTTCCTCAAACACTTTTTTTTTTTCTAATTATAAACAAAACCTTTTTAGGCTTCTAGGCTTCATAGTAAAGCTTGTAACGTGAAGTGTAAATTGGGTGGGGAGAATCTACTTTGTTAGAGTTGCTTTGTTTTCCGAGCAGTAAGTACTACATATAGTACATGTAAAGTGTTAGCTGTACGTAAGCACAAAATGCATTAAAATACAAAGGAGATTTTTTTTCAGGCTGTGATTTTGGTGAATAGTAAAACCCGAAATTCACCGTGGCAGGTAGTGTGATGATATAACCACCAGGACGGTGGGCTTACTTATGTAATGGAATCTAAGAGCAATGGTCACCAGTTTTTCCTTCCTGTACACATTACTTATCTCGTCATTTTTGTATGGCTCATCAGAGGAGGAAAAATAAGACAGTGCAAACGGACTGCAAACGAATGACCCCCTCCCGGGCCATATCAGCGTTAAACCTTTCAATGTTTCTCCACCAGAACAGTGTCCATAAGTATTCCTTTGTCACAGGTGTGTTGAAATGGTTGAAATCCCTTTGAACTTCCATGGAAACTGTCTTCCACTGCAATGACCATGGGAGGAAATTTCCGAAGCCAAGGTTGTCCGAGCTATTGTTTATATAGTGCATCTTTCATCACTGGCAATTGGTTCACACGCAAACCAGGAACAAAACAATAATTTTCATCAAGTCATTTAATTTGAAAGAACAAAAGATGGATTGTTAAAATAAACTAATGAATCTAAGCTCATGGTTTGGATGGTTCCTAACAAAACAGTTTGTGGAATTAGTGGACTCGTTTCTATTACTTTAATTTGCATATATCATCAAATAACACCTGATTATATCTGTGGCCTTGTTCTTCATTTCAGTGTTTATCAGCTAAACGAATTTGTTGCTTATGACGTGTGAAAGTGATCACGTGCCACTGCCTGGCCTTTTTCCTTCTAAGCTTGTTGTCTTTTTGGCTATATTAGACTTTGCAGTATGCCCAGAAGCTTTCCTTCATAAAATAGAAAGAAAAAAACATTTGGCTTATTTTTCACTGTAGCTAGTCTTTTATACAATAATCTTGTAAGAAAATTTCTTGAATTCTAAATATTACTCTTTCTAGATTTTTGAAATCGAAAAAGTTTTCAGTAAAAAGTTTCTTACTTTATTTTACTATATTAGGTAGTAAAAATGTAGGGTTATTTACCATAACCTGTTCATTAATATCAGAAATTTACAATAGCATTGTAAGACCATAGTAGGGTTCTAGCATACCGTGTAGTACCTATGGAGTATTGTAAGAGCTAATTGTCCGAGATGAATTGCTTCTCATCTTGTTCTCCAGTTTCCATTGTTGGTTTATTGCAGATTTGTACCCTGTGTCAAATTTCAAGGTATTGCTGATAAACCTTTCCAACCAGCAGCAAGAAGTTCAAAAAAATTTCTGTCAATGTAACAGAAAACACTATGTATATAACATTTATGTAGCAATAAATGTGCCATCTTTTTTTAACATGGTAAATCAGTGAGTTTTTTACGTTTCTCTCCTCCTAGGTACTATGTTGCTTGAAAAACACCGGCAAAAGCAGCTTTCCACCTTTATGTGAAAAAACCCTAACATAGATTCTCGAGGTCTGCAGCGTAAGTTTGGGGCACAAGAGGTGCTCTTGCTACTCCCTGTGAAGCCAGTGCAGAAGTTCCCAGTGCGCTGAGGAGGAGCAGTATGTAGTCTGCGCTTGCTGCTCTGCAGGAAGGGGACTGCACGGGCACGTAGCGGGCTTGGAACAGAAGCTCATCCCATAGGCATAGGCATCCCTCCTCCTGCATCTTGTTCCTTAGAAGCCTGTCTTCAGGACAGGCAGAGTAAGGTCCCTTCTGTGCCTTGTAGTTCAGTGCCGAGTTACATCTGAATTGATGGAGACATCTACGTAGCTTTATGAAAAAACTCTTCTTTCAGAGGGAGTAAAAATGGCATTTTCCCCTTTGTCTTTCCTTCACCATGCTCCTGATGTCCTGTTTGCATATACCTTCTGGTCACAAGTCCTTCATCCTCTTCTTTTCCTCTCCACTTCCCCCCCCCCTCCCCTTTTTTTGTGTGTGGAAGGGGTGCATGTTGGGATACTTCTGTGAAATCCATTTCTGCTAGAATGAGCATTTGGAGTACTGTAGGAAAACTCTCCTGTAAATCTACAGCATTGGGAAAGGCTTAAAATGGACCCCATCGTTTTTCCTCTGGCACCGAGTAGATGCTGTTAAAAACAAGATTCTGGATTCTTCATGTGAGTTAACTTTTCCCTAGTAATTAATCAACATTAACATTTTCATCCGTAGCATCTGGAAATCATAGCAGAACAAAAATAAAATGCCACAGTCTGAAAAAGACAACCTAGATTCTGGCTGGTGAACTTTGCTTTTTGTTAGTAACACTGATGCCTGGTGCTGTCTGAGATCCCTAGCCTGTGGGTACTGCCGTGTCCTGTAAAAGGAAGAAGTGCTTTGGCCCAGCTGTAGAGCCCGGCAGCGTTTGAAGAGTTGGGGTTCAAGGTGCCCCAACTGGAATGAATAAGCAATTTAGTGCCTTCCTGCAGACAAGAAGTGGCCCGAGCTGAGAGCCACAATGCCAGTGCCTTAAGGGTGTCACTGGCCCGGGAGGGAGGGTTGCAGCCCTGGGGAGAGGCACAGCCCCAGCTCCTGCCTTCCTGCTGCTTGCCTGCCCAGTGCAGTTTCCCAGAAAGTGGGAAAATGGTGCTAACAGGAGAGCACTACAGTCCTTTCTTCTCTTCCCTGCGGGTCTCTGCTCTCAGAGCAGCTAAGTCGGGTGCCATTTAGTGGAGAGTGTTTTGTACTGGTTAAGCATCTCTGGTTTACTGCAGTGTCAGTCTTGCTGCCATCGCAGAATACCGGGAGCTTATTCCCTGGCTAAGAGATGAACACAGTGTTCAGCTGGTATCGCAAGCAACATGTATGCTCAGCCTGGCTACAGGTGGTTTAGCTGTTTGATGGCAGTCACCTGGGATTTTCTATTGGCCATAAACTGCACAGACCAGGCCTTGGGCTCTGAAACTCCAAACTGTCTGGGTTGTAAACAGAATCCCTTTCAATGCTCACCTAATCCTGACTTTTCAAATGTTTTGATGCAATTAACAACATCCATTAAATAAAAACTGATTTAAGAAAAGGAGTCTTAAAAAAAAAAAAATACATTAAGTACCAAGTGAGATAAAAATCTCTTAAAATGTTGATCATAACTGATAGTGGAGGGACAATCTGTTAGAAAGTCAGTGGCTGAGCTGAGTATTTGGAATTCTGGTTGTTTCAGGTAAATAGAGAAGCAAAAATACCAAGGCTGTTTCAGGAGAGATCCAGTGCATTTTTAACACTATCACCTAAATGTGTAGAGACGAAAGGAATTCAATATAAACTCTATCAGTCAGAACAGTAACTGCTACAAATGTGACTGAAGAGAGGAGAAAATAATTTACGATATAACTCAAAAATCGGTCTATGTTCAGCATACACGCCTGCTAGTCCTGGACCTCAAAAAAGCACGAGAAACCCATGCACACCCAGTCGCTGAAGCTCTCTTTCCATCAAAACTCTGAATAACTTAGCAAGGTGTATTTGTTTTGGAAAACTCCACAATGCAACTCTTTGAATCACATCCCCTGGGTGTTTTTTTTTTTTAAGTAAATGGACATGACATTAAACTCTTGCACAAACTGAACACAACAGCATCTTGCTAACTTGGTAACATGCATTTTGGGCTCTACTTTCTTATTTTTGTGTTGAGGCTGTTTCTGTCCCCCTTCTGACTGAATTTTAATGGTAAGGAAGACTCTTTGAAATGCCAAAACAGCCTGATTTACTAGTTTGCTAGATTACTTACCTACATACAAATAAATTATGTAGTTGCTTCTGCTCATCCAAGTTCTGACACCATGTTGCATTAACTGCACATCCTCTCTATCCAGGATGCAAAAAGGCAAAGGAAATACTTGTGGTGGAATTATAGAAGGCTAATCTTTTAAATTCAAATTCAACTGAAGAAATTTGATGAACATGAATGTGTCACAGCAATCGTTACAAAAATAAGTTTTCCAAACATGAGTTATAATGCCATCTGTAGAACGAGATGTCTGAGGAGTAAGGTATTGCTCCACATCTTACCCTGCAGCTCCCATACACGAGCAGAGATGAACAGTATCAGAAGCGTTAGCTTATCGCAGAAGCAGAATTGATCAGTAGCCCCAGTTTGTGTGTTTGTTGGGAAGACACCAAATAGCCAATTGTTTGCTGCACAACCAGATTAGGTGCTCCGGGCTACGCACGAATCATTTTCTCTGACCGCTGAAATAATGGCTTTCAAAATCAGGTGAGTTCTTTGGGACACTTGTGGGTTTGATATTTACTGTATCAACCTCATTCTCTCAGACTAGAACCTCAGTGTGCTAGAACAAAAAAGTCTACCTCAAAATACTGGAAATTCACTCTATAGGAGAGGAATCTCCTATATATAAATAGAAAGTAATGAGGTAGGGGACATTTTTGGATCACATTTTGAATTGTCATTGGAATGGTAGTTCACACCTGTAAAAGCTGGAGAGGGTATCACAGTATTTTCTTTTGAAGGTGACAAAGAAAGGAAGCCAGTCTTGCAGGTACACTTCAAATTCTGTTTGTACAGTACCTAGCAGAAGAGAACACACGTTTTCACTCATCTTCTGTATGCCACGAAGACATAAATGCAAATGTATCTGATTATGAATATAACAGCTAAAGTACATTAATCCCCAACACTAGCTGACTAATTAGGATAAATGCACGCAATATCAGTTTTAAGTCAATGGGCTTTGCTTCCAGTTTACCCTTTTAAAAGGGTAACATTTAATTAAACATCCATTTAATTTGTTCACATGCATTAACAGCCGAAAGTGTAATTAAACATAAAGCTTTTTAAATGCTCACTCGTTTCCTAGCATGCAAGAGTAGTAAATGTGAGCATCATAAAAAGCAAGTGCAACAAGAGGGCCAGAATGCTAAAAATGAAAATAAACAAGTGACAACCTACAGAATATGCAGGTAGTAGCCCGGTGTAAATTAGTCCTGACATCTGTAGCTGGTCATCTCTATCCTGTTATATGGAAATACAACAAATGTGTCAATAAAGCTCTCATCATAAAGGTTTTGGATATAAATACGGATTCTGCATTTACAGGAGTGTCAGGGATATCAGGGAAAAAGGGTGAATGAAACCAAGAATTGTGTGTCTGTTAAACTTCACTGTTTGTTTTTCTCGGGGGGCTATTTTGCATATCCAGGATAACTGATGAAGAACAGCCATAACCACACTGGTTAATTCTACTGTTTCTGTAACTGTTGACTTTTCAGCTGGAGGCCTATGTAAACTGAGCTGCCCGTACTTGCTTTAACAGGTCTTCCTGGACCTTCCTCCTGCCTTAGCCCTGCCCCACCCCACCCCCAGTTTCTCTTCCACGAGATACAGTCTCCAAGTTGTATCTGTTATAAGCAAGCTTAAAACTTTTCCTTCCCAGGTATATGCCTCTGCTAATTAACTAAAGGAATGATTAGTGTGATGCTTACAGCTCTAGGTCTGGTCCACTCTTCCTTTCCTGACAGATGGATGCTGGCTTCTGTTCCTTCCAGGCCCAGAGTTGGAGCTGACTCATTTCGGTAAAGCAGCAACTGACTCTTCCTTCTCAGCGCGTGGAACAGAGCAGTGGAGACAGGAGAACGCAGAGTGCATCCTGTTTCTCAGCTCCTGCATGCAGCATTACACTCACCTTGAGGGCTGGAAGGAGTAATTACATGGGGAGGCTCATGCAACTCAAAAGAAGCCTGTACTGAACATGTCCTTGTTAAACCAGTAGCTTTTTAAGGCAATTTTCAGTGAAAAGGAACATTCCTGGTACAAGGACCTACAAACAAATAACAGGGACTATTATAATTCTAATTCATGAGCAGTAAATTTATGGGAAGTGAAATCCCTCAGTAACAAAAAAAGGAATATTCTAAAACCAGCAGTTCTTAATAAAATTGTTGGAAAGGCTGGAGAAGTTTTGCTCAAAATCTTAAAAAATTTCAGCCCAGATTCTCAGGTTGGAAAACCTGTTGTCATAGTTGAAATCTGTAAAGTTATAGGCACTAAAACCAGGAGCTGAAATTGGACAGTAGCAGGCAACCTTGCCCACGGGGGATGAAACCATCTCTAATTGTATGTACATCTGTATGTACATGTGTATCTCTAATTGTACAGCCAAGGGTGCCATGCCACACACAAATGAAACCGTTTGGGGTATTTGGGTTGTTCCCCTGTTGATCTGTGCACATGTATGACCCTCCTGCTGACAGCCTTCCTCTCACTATTTCCCACTCATGCTCCCACTCAGTGAGCTTTATACACCTTGTCATAAATCAATTCCTAAACTCTTTGAGGTATCTGCTTCCGTCCTTTTCCCAAATACTGTTTTATGGCAAAAGATTGACAATAATCTGTTCATTGGA